GCTGAACTAATCTTTAGCAAAGCTTTTACTGTGTTTTTGCCATAACAAAATTGAATTGAGTCTAAAAAGAATTTAGAGTCGGGCTCGAGCCGGGCGGTCCAGGAAAGACTACCACCCGGGCCGGGTCGGATCAACCGATTCGCATGATGGGTCAAGCAGGCCTCGACTTTTCTTGGCCCGGCTTGTTCCGGGCGGGCTATCAAAAATTCACCCGATTAGGAGCTCTGGTAGTTACATTCTACCCAAATGTATTTTTATTGTAGCTGGCCATCAATGAAAAACGAAATGCTCGTACAAAACTTGAACGAAAAATAGCTGAAAAAAAACAAGCGTATGTACAGAAAAATTCATACATGATCGTATAAAAATGTTTGATCTTTGCTTATCCATTTAGACTGGCATTATATCAAAATAAAAAAATTGATTTGGCAAAAGAAGAAAAAAGTTCACGTGAAAAAGAAAAGAAAATACATGAAGATAAATTAAATAAACTTAATGACCATGCTAATTATTTGAATGTAAGTTAATAAAGTGTATTCAATCGGCTAGTTTTCTGGTTAGAGCTGCAATAGTTAACTAGTAATGGTATGAGTGACCATGTCAGAAACTTGTCAGCTGTAGAAAAGATATCAAGCTATTGAAATTACACTGTTTTCATCCTACACTGATAACGAGAGTCGCACGGCGGAGTGTTCGTCCTGTGCTAAGATCAGGCTGTAAACCTTCAGAGTAGATTTGCTACTTAGTTCTCTAATTCACGCACATCTCATTCTCTTTATGTTTAAAAGGTATTCGGCCTGTCCACGTAACGCGTGATTCCGTCACGATTTTTGTTGTTTTGCGAGTCTCTTCACGTTCGAACAAAAGAAAACTAAGGAATTGTTTACATCTAGTTTTATAGAGAAAAGTGAGCTGAACAAAATGTAATATTTTTCGTTTTCGCAGAATATCGTGGTCGTCAAGTATAACAAAATTTTTACGAGCCCCAATCTAAAGTCTGCCAAAACGGGGCTCGTAAAACTTTTGTTATATTTGAGAACCACGACACTCTGCGGAAACAGAAAATATCACATTTTGTTCAGCTCACTTTTCTCTACAAGACTAGATGTAAACGGTCCTTGAGTTTCCTTTTGTTCGAGCGCCAAGAGGCTCGCAAAACAACAAAAACCGTGACGGAATCACGAAAAGGCGACCTTTATGTGGACAGACCGTATTAATTCTTTCACAGAGTAACGTTGAGCTAAACTACTGCTGTATTTTTTACAACACAATTACTGTCAAACGTGTAGTACGTGAAATGTGGATTTTACTTTACGTTAAGATTTCATCATTCGTTTGTATCATACACATCTTTCTTAAATATTTAGGATTATAATCAACGATGTGCCGAATTAACAATTGAAAGTTGCCGCTTGGCAATATCACGTTATGAACACGAAAAAGCAAAAGCTGATTTAGAAACACACAATGAAGATTTAACAAAAATCAAAGTAAACATGTTTTCTTTCTATTTATTAATTACTTAATTAATTTAATTCAGGAAGAAAGTGTTCAAAAACAAAATCAAATGAAAGCGAGTGAAACTGAAACTAGAATATGTGCACAAAATGTGATAAAATCAATTGGAAAAACATTACCAACAAATGTATCATTATTATCAAATGAAATAATTATGGAAGTCAAATCGGTATAGAGACAATAAATAAAAGAGAAAGAATAATATATTTTTTTTCAAATTTTATTCAGAAATTCGTCGGTTTACCACAAACAATTCAAGATCTTGATACCGATATCATGAGTTTTACAGCACAGTTAAACTGTCAATCGAATGTTAAAGAAGATGTAAGTATTAACTAATAATAAGACTTTTAACACATTCATAATATCTGGATTTTTATTAGTGTACACTTGATTGAATTATTCGTCTCTGACTATTCTATTTTTAATTATTCAACTTATTGCTTTATTACTCATTTCATTGCAGATTATTCGTGAATATCGAAATCAAACAAAAAAATTAGCCGATTTAGAAGGTCGTCGTCAAGGATTAGAACTTCGTATAAATCAGCATCAATCAACAGCTGATAATAGTAAAGATAACTGGTTAAAACAAGTTAAAGAAATGATTTCACAAATAAATGAAAAATTTGTCGATTTATTTAATACAATGGGTTGTAAAGGAGAAATATGTCTTGATGTACCAGAAAACGGAGTAAGTGTTTCATATGGATTTTATAGTTCGTATTAAATGACACTACTGTTTATCTTAAAAGGATGATTACGAAAAATACGGTATTAACATCAAAGTACAATTTCGTGATGGTGAAAAATTACATGAAATGTCAGAATTTTTACAAAGTGGTGGAGAAAAAAGTGTGTCAGTTATGTTGTACATGATTGCATTACAAAACATGACCATATGTCCATTTCGGTGTGTCGATGAAATCAATCAGGTAAAGTTACATTTATGTCAAGTGTAATTTAGATTTGTATTGCCTACCTGTTCTAAAAACTTCATTTATTGGAGAAAATAAAAGTAAAAATGAAGTGGAACACATACGCTATATGCAGAATTCGAAAATCTACACGTACATAGTCCAAGAACACGAGAACAGTAAAATCTCTATCTTTGAAACGATAAAACAGTCGTTTAGCTATAATAAACAATACAAATAGCGAAAGATAACGAAGGTAGAAGAGAATTCGTGTGTCAGACAACGCGTAGGTGTGATATTAAGATGAAAATTAGGCAGTGATGAAGAATCCCTGTGTACATACTATATAATCAATGACGGCCCATCTTTGTGTTTTCAACATCAAGAGATCTTTGCAAAAGTAGAAGTTTAATATCATTTTTTGTTATCGATATTTCGGATAGTATCCCTCTGATGCACGAAAAATAAGGCACATTGTAAGAAATAATGTTTAACTGCTTTCGCTGAAGTACAGTAGCTGATACCAGTATCGTGGGTTGTAACAACTGGATAAAATGACTTTCATTCCGGAATGATTTCCTTTTTATAACTTCTAATAGACATAATTAGTTTGATTGGAAAAGGGAATAAATTGTATTCTCTAGCAGTAAAATAACCAACTAAATTATAAACAAGTTTGACTTTAACACGTGCGATAGAAAACAGTCGCGTGTTAATACTCTGTAATGCATAGGTGCTTTTGCATTTTCCTACATACATCTGCTAGTTTAATTCAGATATTTTATCAAATTACTCTTTTCTCGATAATGCAACTTGGTGTGATTATCGTATCATTCAATGCTTTTTTAAGCTTGTTTTGATTTGAAACTATCGTCATTTCTATTTTCACTTTTTTCAGGGTATGGATCCTCAAAATGAACGTCGTGTATTTGAATTACTTGTACGACATTCATCTGATAAAGCAAACTCACAATATTTTCTTCTATCACCAAAAGTAAGAGAAAAGGCTCTTTTATTATAACGTTAAATGGCTAATAAATTTAGAATGAAAAGTACGGTAACAACAGCGCTATTTAATTTTAAATAACGCTGCTGTTACCGTACATTTCATTCTAAAATGCACTTTTATTTCTGAATTATCACTCATATTTTCTATAATTGGTCTGTTGTAGCTTCTTCCAGATTTAAAATATAGCAAAAAGATCAAATTATTATTTGTTTGTAATGGTGAAGTAGCTCTTAAAAGTCATGAGTGGAATGTAGCAAAATACATTGAAAGACGAAAAGCATTGCAATCATTGTAGAAAGAAATAGTGTTCAATGCTTCATCTCTTTTCTAGCGAATGAACAAAGTTTTATTTTTTATTTTTTGCCAATGTATATGCGTGTTGTTCTATGTAAAATTTATCTGTACAAAAAAAAAGAAATCTTGGCAAAGTCTTTATTTTTTTTTTCTCTTTATTTCTGAAAGATAGTTACAATTTAGTTTTTATTCGAAATGCAAAAGAAAACATTCGTTTTTGCCTCTAAAGTGATATTCTTTCGTTAAATATTTTTTGTATGTACTTCTGTTATCTTTGTGATTCATCTTCTCAAATAAATGATAGAAATGATACATTGTACAATCAAAAAAGTTAGCTTTTGATACACGTTTGAACTATACATTGTACCAATTCGCTTCAAGAAAGTTATTCTAAGAATAGACAGGAAGCTGTTTACATTCATTTACTGCATCAACGATGATAGACGTCCTTAGTAGTTTGCACTTATTCTTTTCATGAAAAACCAAAGCCTAGAACATCGGTCTTCAAATTTTCTCTTTAATGTACCAGTTAATATCCGATTTTCATCGCTTTATATTTCTCAAACGTATGATAAGTATCGTTCGTATGTTGTTCCTTTGTTTTGCTACATACTTTAATATATCAACATAGAAAATTTATGTGGAAAAATATTCTTATATACAAGTTTATCAGGTAACGAAAAAGAAGGTAACAATGATAAAAATAAATAGAGATTATAATGACTATGAATGTTAATAAAATCTTGATTTAGGATTTTCAAACGTTAAATAGTTCAATAATGCTCGATTTAATGGTAATTTTGTTGGTATAAGATGAAGAGTTCCATTAGATAACATTTGATTTCGAATTTTTATTCTACATATGGATAGTAGACGTCGTGGTACACCTATATTAAACATTTTAAATTTAGAGATATTAAATATAGGATTGAGAGATTGACTTTAAAACATACATAACCATTTTTTAAAGATATTTGTATCATAATTAGATATATCACATAAATCACAAGCGAACTTAAATTCTGCCTCGAAAGAATCAATATTATTCGGTTCATATCGTAATACGTGTATTTTAAACTGTTGACCAATTAAACCTCCTAAAAATTGTAAAATGAAAGAAAGAAAGAAAAAGTTTTGTAACTAAAATTTATACCATATTCGTATAATAACTGTATAAATATTCGTCTTCCATTTTCGTCAAACAATCGAATATTTAGTCCATAAGGAAATAATGGTGTAGTTTCACAATGTTGACAAGTACATACATTTAAATTTGGTGTACAACCAAGTGCCAATAATAATCTATACAAATGATTTTCAGAGTAGAGCGACTATTTAAACAAGTCATATTTACTTGAAGATTTCCAGATGGCCAAGAACAAATGACACATACAAAGGATGAATAGATTTGATACAAGGATAATAGGGTCTTCCTTCCTTCGGTTCAAGTGCCACGCCATAATTTGATAATAACTAAATTTAATTTCAAATTATTATGAATGATTTAGAGAAAACATTTTCATCAGCAAAATAAAAAACGGATTGTTATTCGAAACCCAGTGAATATGTCGATGTTTTGATTTGATTTACTATTTATTTTAGTAGAAACAAAACACAAACGTTATTTTACATGCATGTGAAGTAGAAAAAGATTTTAAAAACATTTGTGAACTCTATTACTAAAAAGAAAAACAACAACAAATCGGTACATTTCTAGCGATTCTCGAAGTTTTTATTTGAATTGTCTAAAACTAGTAGCTGAAACTACTTCTTCAGATAGATCATTTCACTCTACTGCCATTCAAAAGAAAAAGGAGGAAACGACGTCGAGTCCTAGTAGTTTCCTCATAGAGAACGACTCTAGATTGACTCAATCGATCTGAATGTCAATGAACCAAAGATTAGATAAAACCGAAGTTGAAAGAGGGAAACTATTTGTAATCATTTTGTAGGAATGAAGAAAGTGGAAAAATTTACTACGTTTAATCAAGTCAAGTAATACTTTTAGTACCCCATTCACTGGTAGGACCATTAATTTTTCTTTTTTTTACAACTTGAACAAGCTGTTAATTTGGTGATTTTATCAAGACTTTCTTTATAGTAAACGCTATCATAAACGACAGAACCATAAACTAACTTCGAAAGGATTATATAAAATTACCTTGAGCCCATCAACATCAGCATTCCGAATAACAATATCTAACGGTTTGAGATTGAAACTATCTTCCTCATTTGGATCGGCTCCTGAATGACAACAAAATATAATGAAATCTTTATTTATTTTATGGCGTAGACTGTATACCTGCATCTAATAATACTTGAGTTAATTTTAACCATTGTCGTCTTAGAGCAATATGTATTGGTCTCATTCCACATCTTGACATTGATGTGGCTGATGAGCCACGATTTAATAATTCTTTACAAACTAAAATTACATTATCTTCTGAACAATCAGTGATAACATTATCATTTGCATTTGGTACATAATTTGGATGTACTAGAACAATTGAAAAAAAAAAATAACTAATTATTTATAAGACATTTGATTTTTACCAAATTTACCAATTACCCAAAATATTTGCATGCATCAATGTTAAACCAAGATAGGATCGTCGATCAATTTCATCATGAAATGGTGATTGTTTAAAATAATTATCAATTTCATATGATGTACCATTGACAATAAGTGTTCGAAGTTTAAAAAGAAAGTCAAATAGATAAGTATTACAGTCACATGAACAGTTGCCATCTGAACCTAAAGATGAACAATTATACTGTAATTTACTCGATGAAATATGGATTTATTCCATAATAATTTTACTTTAAAACAAATGAAACTTCTTTTTTCTAGTGAATTAAAATATTCTTTCAAAATACACTCCGAACAGGTGAAAATCATTATGAACTTTTTTTAGTTTGTTTTTCAATAAAGAATGTTTTAATCACTTTTATGAATCTCCAACTTTTTAATAATAAACTCACATAATTTTGGACAAATTGTACAACGATAAGAAATTGAACCGTTCATTTATGATCTATAACAGAAGATTGATGTCTTATCAATAGCCTTATGAAAACACGATTTTATTTTATCTTAGATAAATTTGAATTCATTTTTTCTGATTTCTTACAAAATTTTAGCACATTTTTAACAGAATTATTTGTCTCAAAGAATCTTAAATTGTGTTTTTACTATATGAAAAACTATCGAAAACACTGGATAATTGTTCTGTAATAAACGAAAAAATTATTCAAATCTGAGTTTTTCATTCGATTAGAAAATTGAGAAAATGCACTTGATATAAAATAATCCAATACAAACTAAAATTGACGATTCTTTTACTGTCTAATGTTTCAATTTGTTCTTTTTTTTTTACCGAACGTTTTATTCTTAATACGTTGTTTCAAAAACATTTTAAAATTTTATCTGTTTTTTTCAACAGATTTTTCTTTTTTTATTTGTTAATTTATTTTGTTTCTAGTACAAAATTCGGATAACAAAACAACAGTGATGATATTCATGTTTTATAATTATAATAGAACAATAAAACAAAAATATTTTATTGCTTTTTAGTTGTTGTTGCACCTCCAGTTGTCGATGATTTTACTGTGGTGGCTGCTCCTGTTGTATCTTTTGACTTTTTTGTTTTTGGTTGTTTTTTCTTTTTAGGAGTTTTTACTTCAACTGTTTCACCAGTAAAATAAGTGGCAACACTTGATAATAATGAACTAATTGACCATCCAGTCTTTTTCTGCGGTGCAAAAACACGTTTTGCTTTTATCGGTTGATCAGCCGATTTAACACGGAATTGTTTTAATACCTTTTTACGAGCTACACGATTGTGTTTTTTTGTAAATTTTAAATTACGAATATATTTTGGATCGACCTAAAAATAAATAAATATCATTAATAATGTCAAACACCTCTCTCTTTTGTTACATATGTTCTCTTGAAAATAAGAATTATATTCTCGAAATATCGATAAATAAAATTAAAAAATTTAAACAAACTACTTTAAATCTTCATTCTTAAATTATTGTCCTTAAATAAGTTAAAATCACTTACTCCTTTCAACGATGGAAAACGTTGTGATTGTGGACGTTTTATCCCATTACGATGATCTTTTCGATCTAAATAAACAATAATAGAATATATTTCTTCAGTAAAAACATCTGAATTATTCTCTTCTTTATTTTACGTACTCTGATTATGATTTGTATGATTTTTACTTTTGGCCATTTTTTCTGTTTTTAACTAAATCACGTAGTTTTTGTGAGGATCAATTAATCACAAAATCTGAAACAAATAAAATGTACAGTAAGAACATTTAATTATGAGTTAACATTTCTATTTATGTACATAAGAGGCAAAAACAAGAGAAGATTTGTTGTTGATCTATCTGTATACACGCACTAAAAATAAATAACAAACAATTGCTTGCATAGTGTGTTGAACAAGAAATATAACAATAACAATAAGAAAGCGTTGTCATACACATTAAATTGAAGATTTAGGCTTGATAACTGAAGTATGAAGGATTTATCTTTTTTTTGTAAACGATTGTGGGAAAAAACAAAATATTCTTTATATCCAAAAAGAAACACATTTCGAAATGAGAAAATTATGGTTATTAACTTAACAACGCAAAAAAATAAAAATTGAACATATGATAGTTTTGTTGAGGACGGAATGACAACGAAAAAAGATAAAAGATAAAATAGCTCTCTAAACCGTTTTGACTACACGAGTATCACTCTGTTGAACCAGTGATTGTAGATGGTGAGAAAAAAACTCTTTTTTCTTGCTTGGTCATCCAATACCATAAGCATTTTTTTTTTGTTAAGATTTGTCCACAATCAGCTCAGGATTGATCTAAAAATTAAAAAAATAACCGTTTTTTTCAAATTTATCTCAGCATGAAAAAATAAATAACCAACAGAAAAATGCTATTCTACAAGTGCCAGATAGTTTACAACAGAAATATGAAAATGTCTAGGTGCGGCCAGCAGAATGTATTGAAGACTTCTTTTCTATCTATAGTACAAATTCTGTACACTAAATAACTCTTCTTTAGAAATTAAGGTAATTAAGCTCCTCCTGTTTCACATACCTGAGTCCATTTTTCTGGTAATAAATCGGTCAATTCATCGACAACGTCTCCCTGAATTGTCAATTCATCCTCACCGGACTTGGAACATCCACATGAAAAACGTTGTGCAAAAAATTTTCGAGCTCCTTCAATATCAACTTCTATAAAAATTAAAATTCAATAGTAAAACACCAATAAGATAGCAAAAAATAATTTTACCATTTGAAGCAAGTCCTTGAATTATTGTCACAAATTTATTTCCTTTTCTTTGCTGTTTATTCAATATGATCTTTTGTGCTTCAAATTTCTTTTTTGCTTTTGGTATCGCTTTTCCTCCGCGCGTTTGATGTTTTTTCTCAGTTTTATCACCATCTGTAACTAAAGCAGATCATAGTTGTACAATACAGAAGGAATTTTTGAATTATAACGTATAATCTCTGACCTCCGAGTGCCGATTGCATTTGACGCATCATATCGGGTAAATTTCGTTCTAACCATTCGTGACAACGATCTGGATCTGGAGAATATTCACAAAATTCCAGCGGCATTGTGCATTCTAAGAAGAGAAAAAACAAATAATAAATCACTATTAAAGACAATGAAACTGTCATTCAATCACATACCACCACAATACTGAACATTAAGAGGATATTGTACATCTGGTTTCGGTCCAGGATAATTGACTTTTGTCACAAATGCTGTTGCACTCGCATTATCATTTGACTGTTGTTCTTCATTTAGAGTAGCAGAGCCTTCGGCCATCAAATATTTTATACTGTTATATAATTGAGTCTCTCTCAGAACGATTGACACTGATTAAAAGGTAAAGAAATTGATCAGGACAGAATTCAAGACAGACAAAATCAACCAATAAATATCAACAGTATAGCAGTATATCATATATATAGAAAGAATGTGTTAAGTTTAGTAAAATGCCTGTAGTGGTTTAAATGGACGACCAATAACAATGGACATTTGGCAACCTTCTCGACAGAGGTTTTAATAGTCATACATAACGATCCAGACACGTTTTTGAAAATAAAATCACTAGTTTCTTTTGGAAACTCAAATTCTCATACGAAGTCTTGCTGCAATTAAAATTGTGTAGAGATAAAAGCCTAGTAGGCTATTGCTTCTTATTTCCACTAGTTATAAAATTAGCTGATTTTTCTCGTTTCTTTCATTTTTTTTTGTTCTATGTGTCAAAGTTACACATGATGTGAATGAATAATGTAACTCTCTACAAATAAGATTTAATTTAACACTCACTAATTTATACGAGTTTCGGATTATCCATTCGATTAGGCCTTTTACAACCGATCAGTATGTGCTAGAACTTGCTTTTCATAGAAAGTTTTGCAGGATACTGACACTGGTATTTTTTTAGTTTTTCTAAGTACAGATTTTCTGTTTTGAAATAGCCTGAAGAAGTTGTTTCTACGTAGTCTGCTTTCTGGAAAAAACCATAAAGATATTTCATTTTTCGGATAGCAACTATATTCTTTTTTTATGATCGACTTATCGTGAGAAAATAGTCAGTAACATCTTCAATATTGAAAATTTGATTTCATGTGTAACTAGATCTATAGATGATCCTTTATATTCTACCACCGATGGGGCTTCATTTGAGTGGATTGCATTTTAGTGCGTATTATTTTAGACATTTCAAAACCGATTGTACATTCGTCTTCTCCATACTCGATTATCTTGTACGCGATACCTTTTGGATCGAGGTATTTTAGGAAAAGTTTTTGATATCGTTTGGCGTCTGATCCCCCAGACCGATGGTTTCGCAGACAAGTTCCTGGAAGATCCGACCGGATTCGACGACGGAACATGCCGGAATTCGACAAAATCTGACACAATCCTGCCGGAACCGTGCCGTATTATGTCGAAATCCTGGCGTCTGGATGCTGTGCCGGAAGATGTCGGTAATGATTCCACCGGATCCTTCGAGAGCCAGACACCGGATTCTGCTGGATTTGGCAGAATGTGATCGTTTTCCAAGTGTTTGAAGGCTAAAAATAGCCTTAGATTTTTTATTTCCTATTCTTTGTCGTTTACTTTCTAGTGACTCCTATCTCTGCGTATTCGAGAGATTGTAAGGTCCCACTAGCTATGGCGTGTACAACACGTCTGTTGACCAGTGTGGGCGCTGACTCACACTGTTAAGAATTGGGAAGAAAATTTTCTTGGTTTTCATTTTCTGCAATGTCATATTTAGAGTACTGCTGTCGCGAAACAAAATAGTGAATATATTATGCGCATAGAAAAGAAAGGAAAAAAGAAGAAAGAAGTGCGCACCACTGGACCTGCCGATTTGCGGTGATCGGAAATTAATGGATCCAACTGGTTCCAGGTATTGGATTCGATCTTCCAGGATTTAGATATCGAGAAACGAAAGAATGGAGCGGACTCCGATGGCCCGTCCGAACTCGGAAAATCACCGAAATTAATAGTATCCTACAGGATCCGATAGGGCGAAGTCGACCCGAACCATGCAGTAACTTTTTCGAAAATGTTTTAGCAGGACCATGAGCAAATTTTTTCCCGAAGTATTCCGATCCAAAATTTATCGCGTACAAGATAATCGAGTATGGAAAAGACGAATGTAAAGTCGGTTTTGATCGAACAAGTTTTCAAAGTCTTTCGATTTGGTGATATGTGTTGATGACGAAGCTGTTCGAAAATATTATAAACGAGATTATTTTTGAAATTAATATCAAACAGTGATGACAGAACCGGTTCAAAAGTTTCAAAATATTTTCAAAAATGAGTGGTGTAATTGCAAACGCACCTAAATAAGACGCGCTAAAATAAGATGCACTTAAATGAGACGCATCCATATGCTACACACACCCTCTAACACTACCTTTTTTTTCCTCAATAAGTCAAAGTCTATATTTAGCTTTTATTAGTTTTAAGTTGTGTTCGAAAAACTATCTATTAGAAATAATGGTTAACATAAAAAAATAAAATGTTTTTTATTTGTCATGAACTGAGAAGAAGTAATAATATTGAAAAACTCCTTATTCATGCTCATCTTCAGAAAGCACAAACGGTAACACTAATCTTTGATGATTATTTTGCCTACACATTCGAAATAGATATAAATTAGAATCCAAGTTTTATATGTGTATATCGAATATTCATCTAACACCCGCTCATGCCACTCGGACTGATCCGTTCACTCATGTTTATGGTTGAAAAAGAATTAGAGATAATTCTTTATAATGACTGGTTGTTTCTCTTTATATCATATTACATGCAAGAGAATAGAATGTTTGTTATCGAAGAGTCAAATCCTTTTCATTTTTATAATCTTTGTGTGTGTTAAAGACTATCAACAATGGAATATGGGTTCTACTATTCTGATGAAAATCGAAAAAATATTGAAGAAACAAAATTAATTTTTTGGAATGATCTGAAGTTGTTCGGAAACAGTTTCTGAGTTCTGTACCCCTGAGAGAGTAACGTAATACAGTGGAAATGATTGCAATTAGTTGTATAGTGTACATAGTAATTTTAATTGCGTTAACTATGATTCAAAATACTCGTATCAACAAGGAAAAATTCTTAATCATGATTAACCTCTAAAATGCATGACTAATTTAATCGTTGTTAGCACTGTCTTGTAGACACAATGTAAATTAGTACAAAGAATAGTGATACTCTTATGAAAATAGAAGAAATGTGTTTGTTTTTTTGTTTAAAATTATGATCACTTGTGGATGATACGATTCTAGGGCAAATATCAAAATAAAAAATGTTTATGTTTTTAAAGTGATTTTAATTATATTTTCATTTAAATCTCCGTCTTTCGGTATGAGATTTGAAACAAGTCTTGATAAATAAGTTTAAGGCATTCTAAAGACTACTGCAAATGTTGGCAAAAAATTTTACTAGTTTCGACCAAAATTTTATTTAGTCCTTCTACCATTTTTCCTGAATATGCTTTCGTAATTGATAATGTGCACTTTTCAATAATACTATACGGTGTATTTGAAACTAATCTCTTTTTGAACCTCAAAAGTCTTAAGTTGACTATTTTATCGCGAGTTCTATATTAAAATTTGATATTCTATTTGTTATCTAACAAACGACAATAGTAGTTTAGTATTATCAGGGTCAGAAATATTGGGAGGATGCGCGCCCTTCTAATAATAGAAAATATTTGTATTTTTTTCTAGCCAAATCTTATAAAAAAATTCGTTTTTTTGCAGTATCTCTACGGATTCTATTTCATAGACTATCTTTCGTTGATTCACATTACCTTCGAGACATATTCAGTTTTACATTCTCCTAATGTTTGATCCCTATTCACAACATAGAATATTATTCAACATTTATTGTACACTCGTTTAATACTAGTTTTTCGATTATGAAGTAGATTGTTTGTTGAATTGTGTATTTGTTTGATCTTATAATTTGTTTCTACACATTTTTACTTACGTATCGATATAAACTTGAAAAAGGATCCATATATAATTGTTGCATGTGCATTTAATCGTTACTAAACAAGAAAGACATTTGTATTTTGTTCTTTTTTCTTTTTTCATTGTGTGTGTGTGTGTGTGTGTGTGTGTATTGACGAAAAAGATGTGACTCATTTCTATAAACTTTATATAATCGATGATCGAGTTTAAGAATAATAAAGGATAATCTTTTAAAATTATTGAACCCACGCCGCCTCTGAATTCATAAGCGAGTAACTGGATATTTTTATTGTTACCATCTGATTCTCACTTTAGTTTATCTTAATACATTATCAAATATTTGATATTATCTAAAATTATTATTCTGGTCGTTGTTTTATTGTCCATGCCTTCTACATCACATATGTGCCATTCTCATCTGCAATTGTATGTCTGAAGAAAAAAAATTATAAAAGTGTATAATGATTTATTTGTTCAAAAAACAATGATTATCTAAGTGTCTAAATAAACTGTTATATTTACAAAAAAAAATAAAAAAATATATAAGCGAGAATTATCAGTATATAATAAATAATAAATGACAAGAAAGGTTGGTTATATAGTAGGCGTCTACTTACTAGTTGATAAATATTGTTTGCGTTTATTGAGTAATTAAATTTATTGTCATTTTATTAAAAGGTTATTCACTTTATAAAAAAATCAGTTATTAATTTTACATGCAAGACAAGAAGACAAGACAAGAAGAAGAAAAAACGAAGAATTAAAAAAATTTTAACATGAAGAATAAACATGCGATCTAGACTAATTACCGCGACGATTTATGAATGATCAAAAATCTCAATTGATCAAGTATTCAATTGATCCGAGCCGATAAGTGTGATCAATATATTATATTTTGTTTTGTTTTTCTTATCCTAATATCAAAGAAATATATGAATTTTATTCGTAATCGAAAACTTCTCTTGGGAAATTTATTAAGAAAATTTTTTGCATCACGTACGATGATACAATAAACTATATTATCGTTAGAATTAGGCATTCTTAGAGTATGTAAACTTTACAATGAAAAGGTCTTTTGTTCGAGCATGAAACATATCATCAATAATTCTTTAGCAAAAATGATTCGATCATGTGGGCAAAAGATCAAAATAGAAAAGAGTATTTTCATATAGACTATGGGACTCTGAAAGAATCGAATTTTTCTTTTTTTTTGTTTTATTTAGCCTACAAATAAATTGAGATAATTAAAGACTAGAGGTGTTTAGTGATCAGTAAGATAAATTGTCAAAGATTAATAGTAAAAAGATTATGATAAACAATTGATATTATTTCGAAACGAATCTTATAAATTAGTTTTTAGATATTGACTACTACTTCTATGTTCAATCATTTTTGTGATTGCTTTAAATCGAAATATGAACAATTATCAATCATATTGAATAATTGATTTTCTATCAGTCAATTCAACTACAATTATAATAGATGTTAACATAGTAATCACGCTAACAATAATGACAAATCCATATCCTTTGTTTCAAATAACAACAACAACACTGTAGCATTTAATTTCATCAACAATTTACATAGACAAAAATTTTATTAATAGTTGCATACATGATCACAGACAGATAAAGAGTGAGATTGTTCGTTTTTCTAATAGGTTGAGATATATAAAAATATAAAGTTTTCCTTACGCAAAATTAGAAAGAAAGAAAGTAAGCTGTTTTTATTGTTGTTGTTTTTCTTTCGTTCCAATATATAACAATATCAGTTGTATATCATTTTTAATTTTATTTTCTTCTCTCCTCAAAGCTTTGATTATCATTATTTATCATCAACTTTACACAGAAAAAAGATGAAAGATAAAACTGATTATTTTTATTTTAGATGTCACGGAATGATGATAGTGGCGGTGTGGGTGCTCTTGTACGACACACGGCTGGAATGGCCGAATTGGCTATTAATGCAGGACATCCAGATCGTAAACACAATGAATATTTACCATATCCAGATAATAATTTTCAAGATCGTTGCACTATTCAATATCAATATGGTTTGTTTATAAAAATAAAAAATTTTATATATTAAAGTTTTTGTTGTGTAATTTTCTATCTATTTTTAGATAAAAAATTCACAATTTCACATGTATACGATCGAAATGGTCGTACATTTGTACCAAGTGAAGAGGTTAAAGTCATATCTTTAAGCGCTGAACGAACATATGCAGGATTTACCGAATTTCTTAATCCTTATTTGTGAGTACATTAATTTGACTTATTAAGAGGATATCGTCTATGTACTAGTCGTAGATGTTTAAACAAACCTTATAACTATAAATTATTTCTCATAGGAGATCAGGAGATACAAAAATAGAATCTACGATGTACTAAAATCAATGTCGATCTAAAATATAAATCACAAAAAGAATCTTCTAATTGAATTTGAAATTAAATAGACGTTTTTCAAGATTTTAGCAAATTAAAATCGTACGAAATATTTAGGTTTTTATATTTATAGTCTTTGTTTCATTGAGTCGTTAAGTGATTTCTTATAAAAATTTGAATTCTTTAACTTTTTAATTTGTATTACATTTAAATAAAGTGTTTTAATTGAAGGGTCTTTGAACTTTTTTCCTTCGTATTTATATAAATATATATTAACTAAACGTTTTGATATATTAACATATCATCCTCAATAGTTAAAAACAAAATAGTTTATAGACTCACAATCTAAAAACATAAATAAGAAGGGAAAAAGTTCAAAGATCCTTCAATTAAATTATTAACTTTGTAAACAATAATAGCATTAATCATGAAATAAAGTGTTTATCTTTTGTTCGTATATTTAGATATTGTGTTGTAACTAGACATGGACCATTTGAATGGACAATATTTAAACGTTATCGACATTTTAATGATTTACATAAAAGTTTAGTACATTTTGTTGAAACGGAAACAAAACGATCAATTAGTGATTTAGACAAGTAGGCGTTGTTGTTTTTTTATTTTTAAAAACTCATTATACCGTTTTCATTATTTTCGTTGGATTATATCTCACCAGGAAACATCTCCAGGTGTCACTTTGGCGAAATATATCATCAGTAGTAAATTAAACAGTACTAATCACAAATATAATGTTTTTAATGACCATTGTCAGATGATTGTTAAGTTAGAGCAATTTTTGACTTGTTTTTGATCGAAAACTTTCTCAATTTTCAATCGATCCTATTGTTTGACACATGGATAAGAAAAGTTCATCAAATTCTCACAGTTTTATAGAGAAATTCTTCAGCTACAATTTAATATATTTAGAATAATAATCTGATTTATGAACAATTCATTTTATTATACATGGCAGCCTGTCGACGCAACAGGCTACTTTTTCGTAAGTCAATCACGTTTGTCAAGATTATAGTTCTGGGAGAAAACACTCTTTCTTACAGAGCTCGGAGGCATCTCATTTCGAAGAGCAAACATTTTTTTTTGAAATGTTAATTAAGCGAACGCGAATAGTTAGCAGCATACTGTAAACTGAACGCCTTATGCGCAAGATGTGGCATCTATTTCGAGAACTTCATCTTGAAATCCATTAATTTAACGGGTTGGGCAGAGAAAATGACGCCACTTTGCAAAATTTTTCCTCAAGTTAAACTTGATCAGAAAGCTTCATTTTTATGTCAGAAAGACAGAGAATTGTGTCCAGATTTTATTCATACGTTGTTTTAAAAATAAGCATGTCCCGTTCGTTCACAACAGTAAAAATACTCGAACCCACGAAAATCTCAACTGCTCAACTACAAAATCAGAAAAATTCAAAATGTAATTTTCCCCTTAAGTATTTTGCAAAAATTTGGTTCAAGGTCTATAAGACACAGAATTTTTCGTAGCTGCATGTTGTTTCTTATACGCTTATTTGTTATTGTTTTATAAAATGGAAAACAGCAAAAAGACATCTTTGACCGACGAGATGGTACTTTATTTTGGAGACTTCCTCAAAGTTTTGACTTATAAAAATTATTGTTTTTTATATCAAAAGATACAGAATTTCAAGCTCTACAAAATGCACTTCTTTCTATGGGTTTTATCGTTTTGGTAAGGGATGACAGAGTTGAGATATCTTCCTTTGGAGAGAATGGCGCCAAACGCCAATAAGGACCTAATTGTGTTGTAGGCTGTTTTTACGGCTCTAAAACTTTGTCGAAAAATATCGTTTTGTGCTTCAACAATTAAGAATTTATTGTAGTTTGTAGTGCCGTGTTTGAATCGCGTGAGCCAAACTTCTATGAAGATATAAATCATTTTTTTTCTAGTGAAGTGGTGAGCAGTTGAGATTTTTGAGACTTCCGATCTTTTGAGTACAGCGAAAAGACGATTAGGGTACATCTTAATCTAAACACAGCACTAGAAATTAGAGAAAATTCTGCATCTTTTAAGCTCAGAACGATGCTTTGGAGTTGATATGATTACCCAAAGGATACATTGCAAAGTGGTGTCATTTTTCTGCCCAACCCGTTATCCACGTTTGCTTAATTATCATTTAAAGAAAAATGTTTGCTCTTCAAAATGAGACCCCTCCGAGCTCTGCAAGAGTTTTCCTTGCAGAACGATAATCATGATAAAACGTGGCTGACTTACGATTTTTGGCTGGTACTCTTGGACAGGCCGATATGTCTTTCTTACTATGAGACATTGTTTTTTTGATCTAGTACTTCAGAAAGGAAACATATCATCAAATTTTTAATATAGCAAGTTTGTAGAGAGTTTGCTTTTGTTTTGTAAGCATTTTAAATCTAAGTTATAACTGAAGAATTTCTCTATAAAACTGTAAGAATTTGATGAACTTTTCTTATCCATGTGTCAAACAATAGGATCGATTGAAAATTGAGAAGTTTTCGATCAAAAACAAGTCAGAAATTGCTCTAACTTAACAATCATCTGACAATGGTCGTTAAAAACATTATATTTGTGATTAGTACTGTTTACTTTACTACTGATGATATGTTTTGTCAAAGTGACACTTGGCAATGTTTTCTCGTCAGTATTTCTCAAAATTTTTCTTTTTATTGATAAATGTTTATAAGTTGTGAAGGGCTACATATGTTTATAGAAATGGTGTAACTCATACTACTGTAAATAATCTAAATATGCCTGTCAGATTAATATCATATAATACAACGTAAGTGCTTCTATGTGTGTATGTATTTCTTCCTGTAATTGTGATATATCTATACGAACACGAAAATCGAATTATTTTCAACAACAATGAAACTAAGTACACAAATTTGACTCTTTTTCTCAATTGTAAGACACTCACGTCTTAGCTTTTCATTTCATTCTCATCTAATATATTTTTTCTTGTGCTTACTATAACTTTCGTCATGTATGCACTTTTGGCTCTATGCGTGTTTAATCAAGTAAGATTATGCTGGCTCACAATCATCTCATTTCAGTTTTTGTAATGTGCTACACACATTTTTTTGTCTTCATGATGAATTTATGAATACTTTCTGGTATTCTGACAGTATCCAAAAATCAATTCAAATTCACAAGAGTTTTCTTTGTTTTAGAGCTCAAGAAGAAGATACAGAAAGACCGTGTTTTCCAACAAGAAACGATCGTTTAGCATTTATCAATGATAATATCATAAAGGAACGATGTGTAAGTTTGCTGTGTACAGCGATGTGGTGGCGTTTCATCCAAACCCCTCTTTTTTACAGGGCTTTCGTACTAAAAAATAACTGGGCTTTCATTTCGAAAATCCTCGTTTTACAGGGCCTTCATAACACTAGTAATCGAATCGGATCCTCTCTATGGGATAGTCAGTCAATAAAGTCAGTCACTAAGATCACTAACAGGGCCTTCGTAACGATAACGCAAGGAACTAATCTCTAGTAGATGCTTTGACAGGGTTTTCGTAAGACTCTTTTACACGGCTATCGTAACGGAGTCTATATGTACTTTTTATCCCAGATAATGCTGTATAATTACAGGCTTTCGTAACGAATGCTACTTCTTATTGTAAATGAAAGAGAAAACAGATAGAAACAGTGAGAGTAAATGAGTACAATCACACATCATTTCAACTCGAAAAGTAAATATACACTTCGTTACAAAAGACCTGTAAAAGACTGTTACGAAAGTCCTGTTAGAGGACATTAATCTTCAGCTATTTTATCGTAAAAAGTACACATAGACTTCGTTACGAAGGCCCCGTTAAAGAGTGTTACGGAAGTCCTGTCACAGCATCTACTTAGACATTAATCTCTTTACATTATTTTTACGAAAGTCCTGTAAAAGCTTTACGAAAGCCCTGCTTTTTTTAATTAATATCTTTTTACCGTGTTACGAAAGCCTTACTTTTTATCGGGATTTCGTAATACGGGGGGGGATTGGATGAAACCTGACCAGCGATGCGTTATTACGAACAGTTCATGAGAAATCACAGAAAGCAGGTCGAATTGATTTTGACTTTAATTCCAAAGCTTCAGCAAACATTAGAAGACAATTTCTTGCTTCTCCATCAATCTATTTGGTCTTTAAATTTATTTTTATTTTTGTTTTTAGCAAATTTTAATGGAATATTTGAATAAAGTTTTAAAACATCCAAAATTTCGTAATCATCCTCAAGTGGTATGTTGGTTTATCTATTATTATTATGTGTAAAAGTTATATCTTTGCTTTTTACATTCTTATTTAGCGTGAATTTTTTGAAGTGAGTTGTGTCTCATTTGTTCGTGGTCTAAGTATTAGTTTGAAAGAAAGTTATTTATCAAAACGATCACATGATGATTATCGTGGTCATAACATATTTTTTCGTATACCATTTTTTTGCGATAAATGTAAATTTCATCATGGACACAAATGGTTTATTATTAAAGATACGTTTATAACCTATATGAGACCAGATACATATGAAATACGTTTTCCAATGTTAGTTGATCGAGCATTCGAAGTTCAAACGGGTTTTCGTCACGCTGGCACACATAATGGGATAAAATTAACAAATTTACAACGAACATTAGTTGTTAAATGTAAAAATTCACGTGATCGAGATGAATGGGAAGAACAATTACAAAAATTAAAAGATAATTCATTGAGTTTTTGTAATACAACAGCTAGTCGATTTAATTCATTTGCACCCGTTAGAGAAAAACAATTAGGTTATTGGTTTGTTAATGCCAAAGCATATATGGAATCCATAGCAAAAGCAATATTGGTTGCTAAGGAAGAAATATTTATTACAGATTGGTGGTTATCACCTGAAATAATGTTAGTACGACCGACAGATGATGAAACATTTCGATTAGATAATTTACTTGGAAAAAAAGCAGATGAGGGTGTAAGAGTTTATGTTTTAATATTCAAAGAATTATCGTATGCAATGGGTTTAAATAGTTTACATACAAAACGTGCACTTATTTCCAAGAATAAAAATAATATCAAAGTATGTTAAAAAAAAAGTTAACGATATTTGAATAACTTTCGTTCACTTCAGGTTATTCGACATCCTGATCATTATCCATCTACTGGCGTATTTTTATGGTCACATCATGAGAAAATGGTTATTATTGATCAAAAAATTGCATTCATTGGTGGTATTGATCTTTGTTTTGGCCGTTGGGACGATGATTTTATGAGGTTAGTGGCAGAGAGCAAAACTGTCGATGTAGACATACATTTAGTTTTTTAAAAATCTTAACTGAACTGACGTTAAGTAATTTTTATATCCGTTTTATTAGGTTGGTGGATTTGGGTCCAGATAATGAAACAACATTGAAAATGCCAGAAGAAATTGAAGCCGAAAAACAAGCATCGGGCAAAGAAACTGTTGAAGCGGCAAGAATGGTTACAACAGAGATGGCGGAAAAAGCAGGAGAAAAACAATCGACGGTATGCTGATGAACAAAAAACATTTATTCTGTCCACTGATAAAGCACTACACTGTAAACAAAATGTACTATGGAGTATGTCCTTTTAGATTATACACTTTTATGTCATAAATCACATCGAAAATGCAGTATCAAGAATGTGCCTGACGACGCAGACAGGATTTGTCGTGGATGGACAGGCTATTTTTCCACCTGTCTTGGTTTTTTTCAATAGCTATTTTTTTACTCTATTTAGATAATCTTATATTGATGATCTTGTAAGACAGCGTATCGGATATGCCTTGAAATGTGTTGTAGTAACAAGTATTTTAGAATAGGAGACATTTAATAACGTTTCTGTAGAAGACACATTTGTTGTGCTCTACAATTTCTACGATGACATGTGCCTCGTCACATAACACGTTAAACATGTCTTAGTCTCGTTTCACTCATCTTTTTGTGCAATTACGACACATCTGACTAATCAACTAAACAAGCTACTTCCATAGAAAATCGATTTTCTTAATATAATTCATTGAAGCTCAAATCTTAGTGATTTAATTCCATTTAGGGAAATATCTTCGACGATTTAGCTTATACAGATTCTTGATAGAGAATGTATTCAGTGCTTTTTGCGTTTGAGCACTGTTCTTTTGAAGAATTACCGGATAATATGCACTCATTTGTTTACAAAGTTAAATTAACAACTGAATATATATATATATCTATATATATATATTCAGTTGTTAATTTAACTTTGTAAACAAATGTAAACAAATGAGTATATATATATATATATATAGAGAGAGAGAGAGAGAAAGTAGTTCGTCTGAAAAATAATAAGCACATGTTGAATATCATTCAAGGCTTATAACTACGAAACATTGAGATAACATGCTTTTACTAATGTTTTGTTAAATATAGGGAAATTTGGTATTTACTAGGAACCGCTTTATGGTGGCGTTTTCTAATTGATAAGAAGTCCTTATTGTTTAGAAACTATTCTTTACGATTCTTCTTTTCTGTTTTTGTAATATTGTACAGTTTTATTTAGGGTACAGACGAGATGCGCAGTATTGGTGGGAAAAATACAAGTGAACCAGTGGCTCGTGGTGGAGTTACAGCAGGCGGAGGAATGAAGGCAGCTAAAAAATGTAAGATAATTTTTTTTGTATAAGCGTTCAAGGAAAAGATCATTTATCTTTTTTTAGGGATCGAATCTAAATTATCAGGTATGTTGAATTAAAAAATTACGAATTTATAATAAATTCGTCGTTCGTACGTAGAATATTAATTTATCACACTCATATATTTTTCGAAAAATTTACGAAGTTTTGAAATTTAATTAACCAAAATGAACACTTCTCTTATACACAACAAACAATGTCAATACGGTTAGCAAAGAATCATTTTTCTCTGCCTTTGTCATATCTTCGCTATTTCTAAACCTGTTTTCACATTGCCACTTAAATTCTCGGAATATCATGAATCTAAGAGTCTATTTTTTAAGAAATTTTAGTCAAAAGTTAAATGTAGTAGGTACATGGTAAAATGAGATGCATCTATTCCGAAAACAAATTCATGCGTTTCCGAAAAGTTTCTGCCGACTTCCATCTCGCGAAATATGGTTACCATATTTCCACCAAAACGTATTTACTGGGAATTCCTAGTCGACTGTCCCCGATGAAATGTTCATTTATAACCCTCAAACATTATTCAAAAGGACTGCCTGGGAAGCTTTTTTTTTTTGCAAAGTTGTCTAGTTGTACTGTACTGGTCTTTCATTAAGAGGACGAGTTCGAACCACTCCCGGAGTTTTCTTTTTTTTGCCAGCTTTGATCGAAAATAGTTCTGTTGGATAAAAAATTTAACTTTTTGCAGAAAAAAACTGAAATTATTTCGGTTATTGTTGTTGTTGATTCTCATATTTCTTGCATTCGACCAAGAACGTTGACTACCCATTGACAGCATCTTGATTGTGGTAAGACGGAAACATTAGCTTTTCCTTGATCTACTATAGCTTTTTTAGTCTGTCAACCGTACTCCCGTTTCATTGCTCTTTCGTCTCCTTAGTTTTTGGTCTTCGAAAGCGCAAAAGTGCTTTGGAGGAATCCATAAACGAATTGAGAATATTTTGACAGCAGTTCACTATCAGTGGTAAATAAACAGCTTTCTGGAAACGGAAAAAAAAGAACATTCGAAACACCGACAGCATGCCTTCTCCCAACAACAATCCAAGTTTTTATTGTTTTCATCCAATTCTCGCTAAGAAACAAAAAGAGCGTATTTCATCGTACAGAAGGCACTCTGCGCGTTTAACAGGTATTTCGCAAGTGTCTTATGACATTTCTAAACTGTAAATCGAAAAGTTTAGCCGGATAACGGTAGAATTTGATAAGAAAACAGTTTGTTTCTTGATTTTACTCTCTCCAAATGACGTGCATAAACAACAGTATCCGTCATATCGACCGAGAACGGACCTGATTACGATAGATCTAGTATTTCAAATAAATTAAAACCTTTATGTATTTGGCATAATGCACTCCTCTGAAAATCCCCAGAGACTATCAACAATTCTCCATACTTTCCAAAAATCGCGAAATCTCAGGGAGTTCACAGGAGATGTCCGTGCAATCTCTGAGGAGTCACAGAAAACGAGTGACTCCTCGGGGATTTCACGATGATACCTCAGAGAGTCACTGGGGATTTCATAAGAGAGAGGCGAGTAGGAAGGTTCTTTTTGGAATATAAATGTTTGACTTGATCATATAATAATCTTGACACTTTGTGATATTGTTTGTGGTCGGAATACCTGAAAGTGGAATGATGTTTGTGACATCACTGATTCCACTTAACAAAACGAAGGAAACCATGGTTTTGAGTGAATTATGTCATTCTAATTATGTATCGTCGGTCGAAAATAATGATCAAATATCATACTCTTCAGGAATAAGAGTATATTCCGCTTGATTTCTTACAGTTTTAAAAAATACTTTGCTACCACAATGCTTTCTTCCCTGCCTTTCAGGATCAAGTGAACATGATGATAGTGATGCGGAAGAGGGTAACATTTCTAGTGACAGTAAGAACGATCATAATAAAACAAATGAAGTATCTAAAGCTGAAGCAAAATCACTTCCCAAAACAACACCACATAACGCTATTAATATCACTAACAATAAAGAACCAATAAGTTTTCGTCGTTATTATTCAGTCGAAAATCGACATCATGAAGAATTGCCTATAGTACATACATTGACAGAAGAGAAACATAACGATGCCGAGGTTGATAACCATTTTCTAACATCAATCCATAACGTAGTACCTAAACGTACAAGCAATTTTTCGCATGGGTTCCATCGCCATCGTGCAATTTGTAGGTGCTGCTTCTTGCAAAATTAATGAAATAATAACCATTCATTAAGCTTCAAACGCTTAATAATCGATAATTGCCTTTTTTCTTTGGTTAATAGTTTTAAGTTACGGTATTTGAAACAAATTTTTTTTATGATGATAAAAATACATAATGCATCAACTGAAAATGAACTGTTAATTAAACACAAGCTTCTGCTGCACACTATGCACTATAATGTCAGAGATAAGTCACTTTTCTGAATGAATATTTCCTTGATTAATAGCTAATATAACTATTTTTGATTTGATGCTGAAATTAATTTTGTCTAACTCATTAGATTACTTCAACATGACATGTGTGTGGTGGTACATAATAAAAGATCACTTTGAGTAGTTGATTATTTCTTGTAGAAAATTTATCTCTTATTCTTGCTGTAGCTTATGCTGGTATAACACATAGACATTTTTAAAAACTAGAATTTCTCATAACAGTTTAATTTTTATCCTTTTTCAAATTATAATCCATTTAAAACGATATCTTTTTATTCCTCTTCTAGACAACGATCCTCAAACAACTGAGCAAAAAATAATTGATGATGAAGAAGCTGTTCGTCGACCACGTGCAGTAAAAAAACGATGGCATAGATTAACAAAGGTAAATTGAATTTAGTCCATGCATTAATATATCTGGATGAGTCAACTCCATTCTTTTCCAGATGGTTAAAAAACGTGATTCAGATGAAGAAGATTCTGAAGAAGAAAAACCCATATCATACATTGGTCCAGCACCTGTAATGGACACAAAACATCGATTTTTTGTTGGAAAAGATTATTCAAATCCGTATGAGAAAGATTTTGAATTTTTAGATAAATTTACTGAAGGTAGTTAGTAATAGTTATATGCAATTAACAATATATTTTTATTTTGTATTTTTATATATTAAGATTTTATTGATCGTAAAAAAGTACCAAGAATGCCATGGCATGACGAAGCTCTTGTCATATTTGGAGAATCAGCACGAGATGCTGCTCGACATTTTATTCAACGTTGGAATATTCATAAATGTGACAAATTTTTATACAATGATGCTTATCCATTTTTATTACCTAAAACATATGATGATAAAGATGAATTAACTGTAAAAGATTGGAAAAGTTTTTTAGATTCAAAACCATTTCAAATTGATGCACAAGTATTTTTAAAAATTTATATTAAATAGAACAATTTTATCTATTCTTCTTTTTAGTTGGTACGTTCTGTCGGTCCTTGGTCATGTGGAACAAAAACAATTGAATTTTCTATTCAAAATGCCTATATTCAACTGATCGATGCAGCAAAACATCTTATTTATATTGAAGTATGTATTCATCGATGAATTCATCAGAGTTTATTTCAAACATTTTTATATTGATGTGTGTAGAATCAATTTTTTATAACAATTGCCGAAGATCCTAATATACGAAATCAAGTAGCCGATGCATTATATAGAAGAATCCTTCGAGCACATACGTAAGTTATTAAAATAGTTAATTATCAATAAATCATAAATTTTAACAATATTATGTCTATTTAAGATCTCGTGAAAAATTTCGTGTGTATATTGTTTTACCCCTATTGCCCGGATTTGATAATGTCAAAGCTGTCCAAGCTGTTTTATATTTTATTATGCGCTCAATAACAAAAGGAGATGGTTCATTATATAAAAGATTGGAGAGAGCAGGTAGGAATTGATATCGATGTCTTTTTCTCATTATTACATATATTTGAATTGAATGTATTTTGATTAAAGATGTTCCATAAATAGGAAATAGTCAACAAAGCAAAAAGAAACTTTCGCTTACATAAGAGATACTGTTACCAATAGTGTCATTTCAATTTGTTTTATAATTATTTTCTCTATTTATCTTGGATTTATTGCTGGGATCAGAAGTTGCAACATAAAACTTTACTCTGTACTAATTGAAATGTATTCTAAACAGTGTCAAACTCTAGAAATTTCAAGAAAGGAGATGTGTAAACGTTTAAACTTGAGTGTCAAACAAAATTTTTAATCTAGTCTACCACGTTTTCTTAATCGTATCTTGAGAAATTTAATAAGGTGACATAGTTCATATAAAACACAGACATTGAGCAGTTTCGTATTGTTTTTTAAGCAAGAAAGAACAGCATACAAGTATTAACTGTAGTAATTTTTTTTCCATTTTCGAGTCAATATCGAAACTGAGTGAAAAATTTTCAGATTTATCATTGGATCTAAAAATCTGAGATAAAATGAGAGAAATTAATTAGATATGGACGATGATACTAAATGCATTTTTTTTGTTTAGGAGTACCGCCCCACGATTATGTTAGCTTTTTTGGCATGCGTGCACATGATGTTTTAATGGGTCAATTGGTATGTAGTCCATATAAATAATAATGTTTCATTTTAAAATATATTTTTATCATGTTCTATTTTAGGTAACAGAAATTATTTATGTTCATTCAAAGTTAATGATAGTTGATGATAAAGTGTTAATTTGTGGTAGTGCTAATATTAATGATCGTTCACTACTTGGACATCGAGACAGTGAAGTAGGCGTTGTTATTAATGATTGCGAAGAAGAAGACGCAATATTGAATGAACAACCAGTTAAAGTTGGAAAATTTTGCTCTAGTTGGAGAAGAAAACTATTCAAGTATAGTTGTTATTTAGTCAAAATGATGCCATTTTCTTTTTTTATGTTTGACTATTTTTAATTCTAGAATGATGTTAGGTATTCAATATGATAATCCTGAAAATATTGATGTTACCGATCCCGTATCAGATAAATTTTATAATTATTTTAAAGAAACAGCGCATAAAAATGCTCTTATTTATGAAGAAGTAATTTTTATTTTTAAAATGTCAATAGTAAATTAAATGATTTCTCTCTTTTTAGGTATTTGCTACATTACCAAGTGATCGAGTTCGAAAATTTGATCAAGTAGAACCATATATTCAACCACCAAAAATGAAAGATACGAATCCACATAAAGTACGTTGAATTCTGTTGATTCATTTTACTCAAATACTTATCATTTGAGATTGATTTGTGTATACTATACCCGTTTTATATTTTTAGGCTCAAGAAAGACTGAAAGATATTAAAGGTCTGATTGTCGAATATCCTTTATACTTTTTAAACGATGAAAACTATTTACCAGGACTTATAACTCCCGAAGGTTTAGTACCAAATGTTATGTGGACGTAAAATATTTTTTCTTTCTATTTCATTCTATACTTAAATTCAAATATAGTTGTTCTCTTTCTATCTCATTTTGTTAGAAAAAAATAATATTTATTTTAGTCTAGTATATTTGTTTCAAAAACAAGAAAGATTGTTTTCTTCATCATTTTTCCACCGAATATCTATGAATTCTGTTCTTTAGGCAAAATCATTCAAATATTTTATTTTCCTGATGTTTTTTGTTCATTCGTCTTCTTTTGTAATTAACTTTATTTTTTGTTTCTCATTATCGGGCAATGTATTATCGTATTTTATATTGTGACTAGATAATTATCTTTTGTTTCGTGTCTTTCAACAATTCTAGATGTTTTTTTGTTTACACATTTTCTATCACATCTACAAAATCATTTGTTTTCTATTTTGATAAAACTTCGTAACATTTCTGGGTTTTTCAACGGTGAGAATGATTATCTGACAAAACGATTTCTTACTGTGCTAGTCCCTATATGGTGATAGTTTTCCATGGATATTTTTTGCTCATTACATTCATTCTAGAAAGTTTTTTCTATATACTTTTTGTTTTATCTGTCAAATGTGTACATTTTATCATTCTTTTACTCTTATTTTCTTTTTCTTTTGCATCTTTGTTCAGCACAAGTTTCAAAGTTTTTCAGCAACAAGTCGAGTTTGAAGCAATATAAAAATAAACATAGTAAGATATATAAAATAAGTATTTTTTTTTTCTAACATATAGTACACGAAAAGATTGACTTGAAGGTTTTTCAAATCATAGACTTAGACTATCTTAACTTGAGTCCATGGCCTGGACTAGATTCAAATTAGATGCTGCAATCATGAACTTAAATTCTATCAATAATGATAGTGTGTAAAAATGTACAAAGAGCTATAAAGAAAGATATTATTTCTACATGAAATTTGTTCATAAAAATTATACATGTCTCATGATAGTTAACAGAGTTGAGCAGCTCAACTCAAAAAGGGATCAACCCTAACTCCATAGTACATTTTTTATCTCAAAATACGTTCTCGTTTTTTTCTCTACATTTGAATCATCTGGATTAAGGTTTTATTCTTGTTAATAATGTCTGCGTAATAGCAAACGTATATATAACTGGATATTCAAAGAGAACAATAAACTTATCACAAAAAATTGTTATCATTTTTTGCTAACTTTATTTATATGTACAATGCTAGCTACGTCAAAGAATATCGATTCTACGTTAGACAAGTCTCATAAGACAAGTTTTTAATGGTTTGAAAGACAAAAAAGAGTGAAAAAACTCTAACGTTCGAAAGACAGATCATATTAAATACTATTACATTTGATTGTTCAGTTGTCGTGATGACGTCCAAAACACATGCCTTGTAGATAATTTGTTCCATATGTTATAAATTTTTCAAAATTTTTATTGCCTTTTCGATAGTTTCATCTTTCTAAAAGATAATTTTAATTGATCAGACAATAGAGATAGATAAAAAGAAAACATACTTTAGCAAAACAAAATCGAATATATTTGTCGGCCATTGGTATATGATCCTTCGTATAAAATCCTGATGCGGGAATTGTAGCCAAATGCTGCACGATCAAAATACAAAAGATAATGCCATTTCTTTGTTTCTCACATTTTTATCCTGTGATTTTTTCTTACCTTTTCTTTCGTTAAATATTTGACAAATTTAAAATCTTTTGATTCTTCATTGTCTGAATGAAACTGAGCATCTTAAATTTACAGAAGAAATCACTTTTAAGTCAATTAGAAGAAAAATAATCTAGCATACTATTAAATTTTGTCCAATCTGCCAGAATAAAATAGCCACCATCTGGTACGATAGGTTTCATTCCACATTCTTTTAAAACTTGAACAATTCGATCACGTTTTTCCAGTAATTCATTAGATATTGAATTAAAATAACAGTCTGGTGAATTTAGACGTTTTAATTCGTGTTCAAAACATCGAGCAACAACTTCTTGTGACATAGTTGGATTTGTGTACACACAATTCTAGAAAGATAACAGATTAGTATTATAGTCTTAATAGAACCTATTTCATGATCTTTCACTATTCCAACATAATTTACACACCTGATGTACTATTTGACATGCTCGTATTAATTTTTCTGGTCCTATTGTCCATCCAATTTTGAATCCTGTTGAACTAAATGTCTTTCCCGCACTTCCAATTGTTAATGTTCGTTCCCACATATTTGGTAATGTAGCGATACCTTTAAAAGTAGAGCATCATTTAAGTACTAGTGTTATACATTTTAGGAGAATGAAAAAACTCACGAATGTGCTTATGTCCCGGATATACAATCCATTCGTAAACTTCGTCTGATATACAATAAACATTATGCTTTTGACATAGACCAGCAATTTTTTCCAATTCTTGTTGAGTGAATACCTGACAAAACAAAGCAAAATAAATGGTAAAATTAGCAGTTATTAAACATGCCTAGTTAATTAATGGATTTTCAAAATAAAAACGCAACTAGACACTTTTCTTATAGTAACACACGTTGATTACGAATGAGATAGTGCAAACATTGACACTCCTACAAATTGATCATATTTATGAAGACAAATCAAAGTAGAGATTGTACCTTTCCGAGTGGATTATTTGGTGAATTAACAATAATTGCTTTTGTTTTTTTGTTAAACATTGATTCCAATTCATTCTCATCCAAAATCCAATCAGCACTACTCGATGTTTTCTCGTTAGTCGAGTTTGATTTCTAAAGACATAGAAAAATAATTCATAATATTTATTCCATTGCAAGAGAAAAACAAAACAAACAAACCGGTTTCAGAGCAATACAACGAGCAATGCCACCCGTTGCTTTTACCATGGGTTCGTAGCAATCGAAGAATGGCTCAATCAATATAACCTAAATATTAAATAAATAGTCATATGTTATTCAGTTCATTATAGTCTATGTCGATCTATTGCCTTTCAAAGTAGAAATGTCTCTAAAATTTGTGGATACATATTATTAATAAATGATAATGTGTAGACAGTCGTCAAGGCATCTCACATATTTTCATGAATAGTTCTTGGAAACATCGATTTATACATCGACATAAAAAAGACTGATATAACTCTCAAAACATACTTCATCTCCCGGATTCACTAGGCCATTAATAGCATTAAATAACGACGGATATGCACCAGATGTCACAAGTATTTGATTTAACGGATCCAATTCACGAAAAAAATATTTGGAATATACTTGAGCAATAGCATCCACTAAACGTCGATGACCCTTAAAATGACACCGACTCCTTATTAAAAATGATGAATTAGAGAGCAAACATATCTTAGTTAACTTACAAATCCGCGTGTATATTGATAAAGAAGTATATTTGAGTCATCGATACATTGACGATAAAAATCAATTACATATTGTGGCGGTAAGTAGTCAATAAATCCTTGGCCTAAAATGAAAAGAGTAAAATATTGTTTTGATAAAATAAAGAATCATAACATTTACCTAAGTTAACAGCATTATGAGTTACGGCTAAAGCGGTAAATTCAATCCTATAAAAGTTAAAGGCGAAGCAATAACAACCATGAAAAATTCAACATTGAAATAATTTCTTATATAGTTTGATATTAACGAACATCTCATCGTAGAAACCCAAAAAAAAGTTCTTTAACAAACGATGAAGATACAGTTGATGAAGCACTTGAAATTCGTACCATATATTTTTTTCCAGACCTTTGAACCTTTTTGCCAAAATGTCCTTCTCATTTTGAACATTTTCTGGTGGTACTGTTGCTAACGACTCTTTGACGACAATATTTGTCTGCGATAAATAACGCAGTAAAGATGGTATTTTACGTTGAAATACTGATGCTCCTTCGAGTGTAACATATTTTCTCTGTAATAAAATAAACCGTAGAGCATACATAATAAATAAACAAAATTAATAATCTTCGATTACATGTAAGATAATTTCTGAGGAGAGACAAACATTAACAGACAATAAATAATCAAATTTCTTATTATATTTTCCATTTACTTTTGCTTCTTTAAACAACGTTGACTATAGTGATGTCTGATAATTGAGTGTTGTCTTTTAAAACAATCGTATGCGAACTTTAAAAGCGCTACAATCAAACCTCCTCTCCCGTTAACTAGCGCCCTCTTCCGCACCTCGATTTGCCAACAGACTAGACGATTTTTCGATGATGATTACCATCTTATACAGAACGTCTGACGACCATTCATATTGAGTATTTGAATTTTATCTGGTTCTTTAATCCTTGTCAACTGTTATAACGCGTGGCTCAGAAAAAACCGTAAGGGTGTAGGATCCGTAAGGGCGTAGAATCATCTCAGAGCAGGGATTCTTCCTAAAAAAAATGTTTTTCTCAAGAACGAAAGACACAAAACAATGACTTTTCTCAAACCAGAGGGTGGTAATCTACCCCCACCACTACCCAGTAGGTACGTCCCTGTTCAAGAATCAGACACTTTTATTTTCGCTTTTCTGGTTATTAAAGAAAGTTTGAAGGCTTGGTACTATGTTCATTCAATAGAGAATTAATCACTCTACAAAATTGTGGATTCTCAAAAACGTTATCTCTCTCTGTCAGTATTTAAAACATTGATACATGCTTAATCTCTAGTAAAAATCTTAGACACTTCTTAACATTATCTTACTAAGATCTTATCCTTTAAGATTTTGATAAGATAATCTATGATCTTATCGTTTAAGATCTTAATAAGATTTAATGACTCTGCTTTCATTCACCCTTTTGTTTTGCACTCATTCATCTATATAAGTGACCGAAAATATGAGTGATTATACGCGTATTTTTCATCCTGACTCTGCTGAAACTTGCTCTCGCGAAAGCGTCCAACAACTTTTTAGAGAGTGTACATGCAGGTCAAGGTTCATAGTTGGACACCTGAAAATATGAAATTTCTCTTCATTCTTCAACTTGGATAATGCGGATTAAAACTTGAAAAATTTTCAGTGAAACTCGGATAAACATTATTTAAAAAACATTATCGTTCTTGCTATTAAGATCCTAATATATTCTTATTCAATCTTGAAAAAGTCTTAGACAGTACAATCTTAGTAAGATCTTAGAAAAATCTTTTCAAAGCTTAGAATTTTCGGGTCTCACGATCTTAGACAAATGTAAGCGAAATCTTACTAAGATCTTAACAAGATTTTTCTAAGATCTTAGTAAGATTTGAGTAAGTTTTCCACTAGGGGTGTGCGCACCACGATGCGCAAGTGGTCGATGTTTTAAAAAACATGAGCGATCATCAAATAGAGTCCCCAAAATAAACCTAAAGCTAATTTTTGGTGGTGATTTTTGACAAGATTTAAAGAAGATTCGGCTATAAACCTAAAACTTGGTTCTGAATGAATGGATTTATTCACGAAAAGTGAGAGTCAGCAAAGGTCCTCGACCTATGAAACAATGACTCGAGCCAAACAACAACAAAAAGAATCTATAAGTAGAAACATAAAAATAAAAAGTAAACTAGTGTACGAAAATAGAGAGATGGTAAAGAAGAAGAATTAAATTCTCTGCAAAAGCATATGACTCGAAGCTCGATAGACTTTTAGACGATATTCTCTCAAAATTGCCATAGATCACCCAGAAAAGTTCGTTTTTCCAGTACCGTTTTTTTTGTAAAAAAATTCTCAATTTCTTGGCAAACCGTCATCCAAGATAAACTGAAGTAAAGATAACGCGGACACTTTCTATACGTGAATGTCAGCGTTAGTTTCATATCTCGACTTAAGCGGGTTAGCAATTACATGTTGGCTAGCGCCATCTTTTACAATTTTTTGTTTGCATTGGTGTATTATATAAAAAACACATTCTTCCTCTTCGATGAATTAATAATTAACAGCCTAAACTTTAAATAGCCATAGAGCGTTGCAGGGAAACCGATAGGCATCTGAAAATGCCCTTCACAATCGATAAGCTAAAAGAACTAACCATTTATCGATCATGCATCTCTACGCAAGCAAGTCAGGATACCTTAACATAATTAAAATAAATAAATGGAAATAAAACACTTATAAAATAATATTTTCAGTCAGTTTGAAGAATTCAACTTTGTGTAATACAGATTTGTGATTGTGTTCATGTCGTCTTCTCCACTCAGAAGAAAAAGATCTACTTTTTGTTCTGTTTATGCCCTTCTTACCTATTATATACAGAAATAACAAGCAACGATGCGCTGTTCTAAAAACTACTTTTGTTGCATGTGAATATTTTAGCCTAGAGCGAAAAATTTTAAAATTCAAGAAATTTTGTGTTTTTTAAAAAGATAGATCTGAAGGCGAAATTTTGAAAAAATTGTAAATCTTTTTTTCTCTCCAGAAACTGGATTGAACGAAGGTAAATGGGATCGGCTCGCTCGAAAGGGGAAGCTAAAAACTCTATTCCTATCTAGAGTAATTGATCAGTATACTTTTCTTTGTTCTAGATAGTTTAAAAAACAATGGGTCCAAAATTTGATCCAACAGCCGTTTATGAAAGTATAAAGTTTGATTAATTTTGTTATTTCTTAGAAGTTTTTTATATAATTTTTGACTTCTGTTTTAACGTATATTTTTGAAAACTGGTTACGGATCAAATTTGCATGTAAATTTCAGCAAAGTCCGCTAACTTTTTTATCGATCAGTTAGTTCTTCCAAACAAATGCCAGATGCTTGTATCACTCAACAAAAAATATTTTATTAAACAGAAAAGTCTTAGAGCGACAAATATTTTTCGTCTTTTGTATACTCTTTCTATTAAATGCCACTTATTTCTAGTTTTGTGTCGTGTTACTGGTGGTGAAGCACCAGGAGGTTCGTCGCTTGCACCCAAAATTGGTCCATTGGGTTTGGTAAGATTTTCCTTTAAAATGAAAAAGAAATTGATATAATATTTTTTTATTCTCCTAGTCTCCAAAAAAAGTTGGAGATGACATAGCCAAATCGACAGTAGAATGGAAAGGTATGCGTGTCACAGTGAAACTAACGGTTCAAAATCGAAATGCAAAAATTGACGTTATACCATCCGCATCATCACTTGTTATCAAAGCATTAAAAGAACCACCAAGAGATCGAAAAAAACAAAAAAATAGTATGCGGTTTCTTTAACACAATGTATAATTGAAATTATGAGTTTTCCTTTTAGTTAAACATGACGGAAATATTTCATTAGATGAAATAATTAAAATAGCACGTATTATGAGACCAAGATCATTGGCGAAAACGTTTGATGGAACAGTCAAAGAAATACTCGGTAAGTTAGTATTCCTCAGAGATGTCCAACTCAGGAGTTGAACTTCTTTCCAGTGAAGTTGAGTTTCTATTAGATTAGAGTTGAGTTGAGTTCAGGTTTTTTCAATCCCAACTCTATTTAAAAATTTTTATAACTCTGAATTTTAATTTTTTTGTTACACTGATAGAGAATGTTCTTGTAGAGTGGTCTTCTTTTCCGATTTCATCGGTGTAGAATGGCAAAAAGTACACTTTCAGAATTAACATTGTTGAAATGTAATTTTGAATTATTAAAATGACTGTTTTTGTGTGTACTCTTGTTAAAAAAAACGAAATAAACAACTGCTAATAAAATAAAGCAAAAAATGAATCAAGACAAAATAAGTTCCTATAGGAGTTTTTGAAACGGAGTTGGAGTCGAACTTAGCTGGCGTTGCCCATCTCTGGTATTGCTCCAATATAGTATTATAATGAAGATTGTTTAAGAAAAAGGAAACAGTCTCACTTTAGAAAATTTAACCTGAGAAACTGTCTTTTATACAGATAAGTAAATGATATTCTTTTAAGCTTCTGAGTAACTTGTTTTCTTATATTATTGATGACACTTGTTTGAAAAAAAGACAAGATGAAGAAACAAAACGAGCGATAGTGACAAGTTCATTTTCAGTCTTCAATTTGCTTCAAATATGCAATTAGTGGGAAAAAACTTACTTGTAAAACGCTGTTAGGAAAAGTTAAATCGACATTCTTTCTACTACTGAATAAAACAAATTTCAAACTTTTCTTGCTATTTGTTTTTCGAATACATATCCTCTCTGCGATATTAGTCAGTTGTTTATTGTTGGTTATACGCTTGATCTACCAATAAATTGTATTTTATGTGAATCTTTCTATTTATTGTTTGTTCTTTTAGGAACAGCTCAATCGGTTGGATGTAAAGTAGAAGGTTCTCATCCACACGCTTTAATTGATCAAATAAATAATGGTCAAGTTGATGTGCCGAGAGAATAAAAGAAATAAAGGAAAAGAAATGTTGTTTTTTTATTTCTGTTATTGTTATGTTTTGTTTTCCATCGTTTTTGTATATGTGAAAGTAAAAGGTTCGTTTACATTTTGATTATTTGTTGTTCCATCATGTATTTCACAGATATTCACCGCAACTATAGTTGAATATAAAATTTTATATAACATCAAACAAAAAAATAAAATTGTTTGTTTCGATTTCCTCATAAAATAAATTATGAGGTATCAGTGAAAGAGTCCGTCTTGCCTATGATAGTTATCAATTCTTCGTGACATTAATCTTCTGCGCACAAACATAATCATTAGTTTATTTTTAGCCTGCTTCCAAATACTTAAATTTTTACACCATTTTATTAGAAAATATCGGTTTTTCCATTTTACAAAAATACGAAAACAAAACAAAGTTACATTATTATCAACAAAAATGGATGCCTTCAGAATTAAATGCGTGTAGCAGTCTAAATAAATAATAACAAATATAAATAAGAGTAGGTCAAATATGATCTCTATTGATTTTACTAAAAATTCCGTTAATTCAGCTAAAATACGTATACTCTTGACATACCCGAGAAAGTCATCCATATCCATTTGTCTTGCACGTTTTTTTGCAAAACCACTTTGTTCTAATATTTCTTCTACTTTTGCCTTCGTGTCAAAGTCATTCGTAATAGTCTAAATTTAAAAGACCAAAATAGAAAATAAATTAACAATAGTCTGTTAACTTTTGTATTTATACTTTATTATTTAATGAACAATGAATACGGTAATTTTTTTCCAATAATGCCACTACTTTTTTTTGTCTAAAATATAAGATTTGAAGTATGTAACAATCAGACTAGAAGATCTTTGGCTAAGCTATAATGCTCACATACTTGAATTCAGATACTAATAATTTATTTTTTCTTGTAAAACATATTCTTGTAAGACCATCCCATTCCTTTAGCAGAGCAAAAAACATTATCATACAACTATTATTTGTGTCCAGGTTTTTTTCTTTTCATACTTGATAATTCACTGCAGGCGGTGGATTTTTAGGTTCAATTCTTACAACACTTGATTCAACTTTTGGAGGTGGACGAAAATTATTTTTACCAACCTAAAATTAATAGCATACACAAGATAAATACAGTAAACGATAAAGAAACAATTGGAAAAAATCCAGTATTGAATGATATCAATATCAACCTTGAGAAGATAAAAATGCTTCTAAAGAATGTGAGTGTCATTTTATAAAAGCGAATTTGTTTTGTGATGCAAACCTACTTTCATAAGATGATCAACTTTGGCTAATAATTGAGTATTAACTGATAGTCGACAATATAATTTTTCACCCGGTTTAGCCACAAGACGTTGAGCAAATTCACGTTGAAATAGAACAATAGCACAACGAAACATTGGCCGATGTAAAAGTAATTTGAATACAAATGGACTTGAGATCTAATAAACAATAACAACAGTGATCATGCTATTTTAGTAGAAAGTTCTTCGTGGACATACACACCTGATAGGGTAAATTTGCTACGCATAAATCAAAAAATGGTAAATCGGATTTCAGTATATCCCCAATAACAATATCTAATTTACTTTGAAACGGACTGGAAAAAATAAAATCGTTTTTCTTCTAGAACGAGAATTATAAAAATGTCGACTTACGTTCCTTGAACACGTTTTTGTAGTTCAGCAACGAGACGAGGATCGATTTCGTAGGCAACAACCTAAATTAATAAGAAAAGATATATATCTGTGAAAGGACGAAAGAGAAAATTGAGATATAAACTTTAGATCGATAAGCTAAATAAGATTTTTATTTATAAATTCGTATAAGCTAACTAGTTATCGAGAAAAATTTTTATTGATTTTTGGTCTGTGCTGTATCACGTTAAATTACTTAAGACTATTAAGAATACTTTGAATAATTAAATATTATCGACAGTGGCGTAGCCAAGGGAGGCGCCTAGGGGCACGGGCCCCTCCCTTAGAAAGTTAACTTGTACTGGAAAGAATAGTATAAAATATCAGCTATCAACGACATGTTTTTGCTTAGTCGTTTACTCTAATCCTTTCTAAAAAAATGTTGGGCCCTCCCTTAAAAGAATCCTGGCTACGCCCCTGATTATTGTAAGTGTAAGTCAGTTCTCAAACGTAGAGTAGTTTGTTTTGTTTTTTAAGATTTAAATTCTTAGATATATGTTGTATATTTTAACTGTCTAAACAAAAAAACATTATTATTGAGTTCTCGAAGTATATTGCGAAGACAAATGTGAATTAGAATGTATTTTGGTATTTTAGTCAAAAATTAGTTAGAGCCGCTTCACTGACGGATTCGGAATTATTCTTTGGTACGTGCCGTATACGATAAAAGTGCGAGATACGTGCGGCTAGATACGTTGCGGATAGAAATAAAGTATTCTCAGTGAGTTCTACTAGGAAAAACAGTTTGTTGGTTAAAAGGTACGAGCGACCGCTTGTGGGCTGAATGATTTCTGACCCGTTCAGATTGTAGAGCTCATAGACTATGTGAAAATCTTTCCAAAACTGCCAAACAAGTTTAAAAACCAAAACGGTTGCCAGACTTGTGATCGGAAAAAGCTTCTCCCTAAAACTAACTTTTTTATTAGAAAAGATTTTGATCAACTGGAAAGTTTTCTCATCAGTCATATTTATGCGCGAAATAAGGAAAGAAAAAGCATGAAAAATTTTTATGCTAGCAGTACACTCCTGATTCGTCCAGTTATGTGTAACTCGATTATGCTCCACTTACTTATTGCACACACCTTTTTGGCCTTTTCCAATAATTTCACTGTTAGATTTCCCGTTCCAGGACCAACTTCAAGAACAATATCTGTTGGACGAATAGCAGACTAGAATTTATTTTTGAGATACAATAATTCTGTGAAATCAATTGAGAGAGTATTCGACATAAATACCTTATCAATCATGCTGGTAATAATCAACGGGTTTTTCAAAATATGCTGTCCAAAATCTTTATTGAAATTAATACCTTTTGAAGAAAAAACCACCCAGTATTAAACATGTCCAGAAATATTTTTCTAACAACAGATGTAAACACAAACCTTGTTTTTGTACATCCTTGTGAATACGGCTCTTTTTCGCAACACGTTCTTTAGGCATGGTAAATAAACCGATTGATTCAATCTAGAACAGATGAATTTTGTAAGATTATGAGAAGAAACAAGCGCAAGCCAGCCATATAAAAAGTTTGCCCTACCTGTATAGTACGAAAATTAGAGTACTATCAGTTCCTTCGCGGAATATTTTTTATAGTAAATTCTAACTGATAATCGAATGAAAAGTATTTTTCTATTCCTTTTGTTGTGTATAATGATTACTATGCGTAGTACAAGTCCGATTCACTTTCATCGTGTATTATATAGTGAAAAAAACCTTTCTACAATTACAAACTATATAACCATGGCCGTTGAGAAAAAAAAAAGAACCTATACAAAAAAAACGAGTGCGTCGGTAGCTGTTCCTTGTCAACATTGTGTTTTTAAATTTACATAAAGTTCTCGATATCTAGCATCTCATAACGAGACTTCAAAATGACATATGCCTTCCTGATAATTCGGATCAAATATATTTCCATGTCACAGTGCAACAGATCCGGTCAACCACCATGGGTGGATGAATTTGTATCATATCCTTGATGAAACGCATTGTATAAACTACAGTTACAGCGCCAAGACAAATAGTATGACTACATAGATGGGATTAATACTACGAGTCCAAATTATCTCAGGTCAAATTAAAAGAGCTAAAGTATTTCAAAACAAAATGTCTTCTTTTTCCTAGCGTCAATGTGCGATACAAGATAGTTATGTGGAACCAAATTGGTCATTTCGGTGATGTTAGAGGGAAATGATATTGAATTATCTCGACCCCGCCTAGTACGATATATCAAGATAGCAAGTTATTACGATCATCGTATAATGAAGAGCCTTACTTCTAGCTTTTTTCCCTTGACTTTAGTCTCGGGTCTTAAAAAATGGTTGTCTGTCTGTGTGTGTATGCAAAATATGGACAATAGCCATCAGATATTCCATGGATAAGCCAATCATAAGAGAGAAAAATACAAAAAATTTCTTTTTACCACAATATATATCCAAACGAGATGATCTGAAAAATCTACGGCCAAGATAATTGACCGATAAACGGAGTGACCGACAAATAACACACTAGCGTAGCCATTGATATGGTAATTATGCCTCATAGTGTTTTCAAGTGAATATCTTGAGTTTGGAGCAGTTATATGGCAAAACATATTGTTTTTAGCTTCAACGAGCATGAATTCAGCGATCCATGGTAGAAATGAACTAAAACAGAGTAGTCTGCGAAATGTGGTTACTATCTGCTACATGATTCTATGATACAGAAAGAAAATACAGTAGAATAGAGCATAGTACATCAATAAATATTACTGGAAATGAAGTTTTCTTTTTGTGGTTAGTTGTTCAAATCGAATTGACGACAGCAACAGCTAAGAACAGAGCTTGTTTCTTGATCGAGGAATATATTACTACTCGTAAATAACATAAACTTCATATCACACAGTAATATTGATGTTGTCTCACTAATCTTGGCCGATATTTTGAACATTGAATCGCCAAACAAGAAAACAAAATATCAGACAGCGGGTATTCTATAGAAGATTAATCGACCGTATTTATTGTGTAAAGATAAGAATGGTTAAATGTGTTATTTTTGTAACTCTAGAATTTTCAGATCTTTAAAATCGAACGTTTTCGACTTGCTACAATTACGAATCTGACGAATTTGTAATCTTTTTCACAGTTTTCTAGTTCAGCTTTTCACTACGTTGATGGAACTGCTGGTGCCCAAGAAATGTTTTCTAGATCCATTTCTAAAGGCTCGATTCCACCATATTTTACTCGGTTTTTTCTTCGAGAACACGATGTAATCAGCTTTCTCCAGAACCTCTTTACTACCAAAAGAATAAATAAAAAAACGAACACATTTCATATATTATAAATTGTTCAATAACTATATAAACAAAGAAGACAGTACTCAGTGTAATTTAACTCACAAGAGAAGTTCAGAAAGATATATACAGAGCAAAGACGAATATATAACGTATAGAACTGCGACAAACACATTTATTTAGATTTTTTCAGAATCAAACGGAAACTGCGCGCATTCACACAGCGTATCTCACAGATTTTCAACCAAAATGACTGAGAAAAGCAAAACAAAAGTAAAGATACGTAAAAGCAAAAATATTTTTTCTGTATGCATAGTATTATTCGCATAATATGGTCGAAAAAACATCTACTATACTGAGTACATTTATATAGAAGCTCAATAATAATACTGAAAATAAAATAAAGAAGAGACTTGCGAGTCTACCGAGTCTAAAAAATTATTTAATTTCGTCGAAAAATGAGGGAGCTATGAGCGATTGATTGCATAAAAGATTTTCTATGCTGTTTTATGCGAAGCAAATGTCAATAGAGATATATCTTATATATATGTCGCAGTAGAAATTAGGATTCAATAGAATTTAAAATTCTATTAGTTAAAATTAAAGTTTCATTTTCTACTAGGAGAAATTAAAATAAGCGGCGATTTTAAGTTCCACTAGTAGAAATTTAAATACTATAACTAATAAAATTTTAAATTCTACTGAATCCTAATTTCTACTGCGACATATATATATATATGTATATTCGAATACTATAGCCTATTTATTAATTAAAGACATTCATATAATTCAGTAAATTTTTCTCAAAACACTTTTAATTTTTAAGAATTTAAAAACGATTCGATACATTTATGGCTATCTACCAGCAGAAAAGTCGTATCTTTTCAATTTGTCATGATTAAGCAAAACGTTACCTGTTTCATTTGACCGTCGAACAAGCCATCTTCGGCATTAATATTCAATCTATCTCGAACGGGTGTTATGCCAGGCGTCGCACCTATTGTTGATAAAGTTCCTACACCATTCATGATATCACCGGGTGTGGGAATCGCTTGAGTTGGATGGTAATTGTGGTGTCCGTAATTTACTCAAATCTGGTGTCAAATTATAATCACCGAGTAATGTTTCTGTTGCCGGTGTACCAGTTTCGGTCACTTGTTGTTTGGCTATTTCTGTTGCTTGTCCTAATTTAACTACTTGTTCCAACTTTATGTCACTTATTTGTGGTGCGGATAACACTAACTTCGATCGCTTACGAATTGGTTCTAATTTATTTTCATTCACAATCATCGTCGGTAAGTCTTCTTCTTTTTTTCATTTTAATTTGTCTTTATCCTTCTCCCTCTCACGTTGTTCATTTTCTTCTTTTTGTATGGAATTGACATTATCTTGTCGTAAACGACGAAGATCAACTTTTTCCGGATCAAATTCTTCGTTCGTTGTATCATAAAAACCAATTGCCGGAAGTTTTTGAAATGGAATTTCAACATTGTAATTGACATCACGTTTTCGACTGTGATATCGTCGTACTTCAATATCAGTTGCACGAAGTTCTCGACGTTTTTGTAATGCAGCCAAACGTCTTGCTTCTTCGAGTTGTTTTTCTCTTTACGCTTTGCTTTTTTTCCTTGTGCATTTGCCAAACGCGCACGTGCTTAAAAGAAGAAAAATAGTTTGACTTGTATGAAGAGAATAAAAGAGCAAACTATTCACCTTCAGACAACATTTCTAATTCATCTTCATCCATATCAATTGGATCTGGACGCGCTGGTTTTGTTTCTGGATTTGGATCAATCTCACCTGGACGCAATGTTCTTGGATCATCATTGTTTTCATTTAAGTCTTCTCGCCGACATTGAGCTTGGTCTCTGAATAGAGGAGGCAATGTTATTAAACAACTGATTTAAAAGAGTGTTGATGTCTTCTTACAATTATAGACGATACTTACAATAAATATTCATAACGTTCAAGACATTGTGCTGCCGTACGGCCTACGATCGGTGCGATTGTGCACCATTGTGTTGGCATCAATTTGGCCATATGCAATAACTTTTCATCTTCATCACGACTTCATTCAGTTTTTTTTATACCTGGATCTAATCATTCAAACCTGCAACGATAGATCAATATGGTGCATATTTATTATTTAATTCAATTAACTTGATTGTTCCTTCGTTGTCGCCAAATTTACATACTAATTTTGGTCCATTGAATTCTGAAAACCGATGTTCCCTGATTTTACCTAAAAAACCGAAAATGTGAACAACATTAACATTCGCTCAAATATCTTATTCAACTTAGTTCAATAGAGAAGAGTTTGTTTCTTTTATTCTTTGAGGTGAGAAAAATTCACTCTTGTTTGCAAAACCCGATGAAAACTTATTCGTAAGCGAAATAAAAAATCTTCTATAATGTAAACGATGCTATTAATACATTTAACTTACTGATTTAGCTCTTTTTTGCAACGTATTTAACGTACGATGAGAAGATGGACATTTTTCACAGAAAAATTCATAAATCAAACGCCATCGACATAATGTATTTGGCGGAAATTTTTCTAGTGCTTGTCCCAAAGCTTCTGCTTCTTCGTAAGACCAATCCGCTGACTGCGTACATGCTTTATTTGCTTATTGTTGATAGTGATGACAAACTATTTCTGCAGGTAATTGAAAATTCAAATTGAACTCAGCGTAAAATGAATTTTTTGCTACTCAGTGAACTTTCAATAGAATTGATCATTTGAGAAATTCTGATGCAGACAATAATTAAAGATACTTACGACACAGTTGAATCGGTGAATTTAATAGCCATTTTTTAATTACCACATGTTTATCTGGTTCGGTTGTTAATGTATGGTTCAACCAAGGGGGAAAAAGCAGCACCTAGTGCCGATTAGGGTGCTGAAAGGTGCCGTTAGGTGCTGAAAGGTGCTGAAAGGTGCCGTAAGGTACTGCCTTGCAAACCATAAGTTAGTGGGATCGAATCACACATTGTACGGATTTTTTTCCTTTTTTCTTTGATTTTTTTTCCTTCTACATAAAAAGGAAAGATGATTGGCTGTTTTAATTTAATAAAAAAGGAGTATACAAACCGCTTTTTTATCTGAACACTTTCTGATTTAATTTCGCTATAATGGATATATCCTGGTAACTTTAGAAAGCGTTGAAATATTCATTCTTTACGCCATG